TTTACCTCATTGCACCATTCCACTTCATCCCTTTACCCAGATTTTGATCTTTCCTGCAGTGGCATCTCTCACTTCTTTTTTTTCTCTCCTTGGGAAAGCCCCTCTACCCTCATCAGTTTTCTGTTACTGGTGTGGAACTCTGTAGAGGCGTAAACTCATCAGGTAACTGGTAATCTTGATACTTGCCTCTTGATGCAGGAGGCAAACCAAGTTAATACCTAAAATGGATTTAACGCTTGCGCAGTCTTCTGCATTTTACTCATGCTATGCACTAGACAGACATCTCCTAACGTAGGGCAAGGTGTTCTCAAGTCTCTAGAACAATACTGAGCTCCTCTTATGTTTTACTCAAAAAAATATTCCCCAAGTTCTCAGCTGTATGTTTTTCTGCAGATCAGAAAAAAATGGAAGTATAAGGAAAATTATAATTTAGTTAAATTAATTTCAGAACTAGGCCAGATATTTGTTCTCATATACTTTTTGAGTAATTTTGAATGAATATTTTAGTTTCGTGTTAAAAAAATCAGAGAAGAATGTATGAAATTATTTTTCTCTACTTTCACAGGTACAGAAATGTAACATGTGTTGTTTACACTGGTGATAGAGATGCCACGGGAGAAGAAATAGTAGAAGGCGCTTTCAGGAGATTCAATATTAAATTAATTCATCCTGTGAAGTTTGTATTTCTAGAAAAACGCTACCTTGTGGAAGCTTCTCTCTACCCTCACTTCACTTTGCTGGGACAAAGTTTAGGATCAGTGTTTCTCGGCTGGGAAGCTCTTCTAAAGTGTGTTCCTGATATCTACATTGACTCCATGGGCTATGCCTTCACGCTTCCCCTCTTTAAATACTTAGGAGGTTGTCGGGTTGGATGCTATGTCCATTATCCCACTATCAGCACCGATATGCTTTCTGTCGTTCGGAATCAGGATACCAGGTTTAACAACGCAGCCTTCATCACAAACAGTCCTCTTTTCAGCAAATTTAAGCTAGTCTACTACTACTTCTTTGCTTTCCTGTACGGATTGGTCGGTTCCTGCAGTGAAGTGATTATGGTTAACTCTTCTTGGACGCTAAATCACATCCTTTCCCTATGGAGAGCTGGGGCTTGCACTAGCATTGTGTATCCACCATGCGATGTTCAGACCTTCCTGGATATTCCACTGGAAGAGGAAAAGAGCACCACTGAATATTCCATTGTTTCCATCAGCCAGTTCAGGCCTGAAAAAGATCATCCTTTACAAATCAGAGCCTTTGCTAAATTGCTGAAAGAGAAGAGGCTGGGGCAGCAGCCGTCACTGAAGCTTATCTTGATTGGAGGCTGTCGTAACCGGAAAGATGAAGAGCGTGTGAATAACCTTAAACGTCTTTGCGAAGAGCTGGGCGTTAGTAAGGATGTGACGTTCAGAATAAACATTCCCTTCGAGGAGCTAAAGAGGCACCTGGCCGAGGCCACCATCGGCCTGCACACCATGTGGAACGAGCACTTCGGGATCGGTCAGTATCTTTCCTCGGTGTTCGGCCCTTTGTCACAGCTGGGGAGGGCTTCGGTTAAGGCTTCTCCACGCAGGTGTCTGGGGGGGTGTCCAGCTGCCCTTCTCGACAGAGGCACTCTAGCCGAGGTAGAGCCTACGGGACTAGGCCGGATGACTAACCCCTGGGTGCTACGGCCGTGCAAGCTGAAGCGCTGTGGCCTTCGCAGCCTGTTAAATGTGGGCATTCTCCAGGCACCTAAATGGACAGCTGGTCCCGCCTCTGCTGCCCGAGGTGCCCTGCCTGACCCCCAGCTATCGCTCTGCAAGGTCAGGCGTCACCCTAAGGTCCCGTGGTAGGTTTGCCAGCCTTACACAGGTGCTCTCTGTACCCAGGGGAACCTCAGAAAGCAGCAGGTACTTCTGTGTAAGCACCTCAGATTGTGCCCTCCGCGGGCAGAGCTTAGACACAGTTCACGTGTAGACATCCATGTGTGCAAATTTTGATCGTGTTTCACCTGCTGTTTGAAGTTTCTAGTGTATGTCAGGGGGCTCTAGCTGCTGTTTCAGAGGTGTGAGTCTCCCGCAGATTCTGACTCGGGTGTAAGCCCCGTGCAGATGCCACCAGGTAGCCTGGGTCGCCTCACTGCACTAGGAGCCCATTAAGGCAATTAAGTCATTCAATCAGTTGCTGCAGCACAGAGCAGAATGCCAAAGAGGAGCTGGGACCTGGTTTGCGACGTGCTGTCATGCAGAATTAAGGTACTGGGCTCCGTTTATTGGGATTAGTTGAGTCCTGACCTCGAAAGGGAATGTGAGGTCGCCCATCTGACTTAAATCTCCAGCAGAATAAGCTGGCAGCCAAGCAGGTGGTGCCGTACTTGGCTACAGTGTGACTAAACTGCAGTTAATGTCATCAGGCTTTATTAGAATGCAAGTTAAGTAACTATCAGGAGTAGTAGTTTGTAGGAGCTTGGTATAAAAAAATTTACTCGGAAGTGTCTCCCAGAAGCAAATGCCGCAAAATGGATATAATAGTTTCTCACATTTTTTTCCAACACAAACCAGTTTATTTTTTATTTAGAGTGGTACAATCACACTGTGATTTTGAATTTGAGCATGATTTCACCTTCATCTCCAGTGGCTTTTTGCCTGTAAAAAATACGTTCCAAAACTTTGGAGCATTATTTACAGTTGGCAATTTTTGAGCTAGGGGAACTTTTTAAAAATCAAATCAGGACTGAAAAGAATCAGCAATTAAAGGGATTTCTGAGGTCTGTTCTGGAACCACAGAAGAGAATTGAAGTTGATGTATACATTATATGCTAGTTCTATCCCACTGCTTTTGGCTGAGGAAAGCTTACTATCAGATTCCCCTTGCATTAACATTTCCATCAAAAATACAGGTGTAGTGACAACAGTTTTGACTAGTTTGTCTTGTCGAGTTGTCAAAAGCTATAAAGATTTGTTAATCTGCAAAATCCTGAACTTCTGAATATCATCTGATTGAAATGTGCATAGTCATCTTTTCTCTCAGTATGTAAATGTTAAAAATCTTCAGTGTGAATAAGAGAATGAATAATGTTCAGCTCTAATTTTTGTTTTCTGCAGCTGCCACCACACCATAAAACCAGTGTTGCAGCGTTCTGTCACAGAGCAGAACAGAACTATGCAGTGCACTGTCACAGAGCTACCTTCCATGTTTATCTCTGCTTTTGGCTCAAAATCTAGCTTCTTTTCCACAGTATACGGTGGTGGTGTAATTTATCTCAGGTAAATCAGTTATGTTACAAGAACCACAACTTAGCCAATCATATCTGATATTATATTCAATTTTATGTGCTTAAACTATCGTTTCAGTCCTTAGGACTGAAAAACTGAAATTTATTTTCCTTATGAGCCCATTTACTCTGTATTTTTCAAACTGATGTAGAAGAGCATTCTATAGGCACTTCGAATTCTGGGTGAACTGTTCTGTGGTCTTAACTTTCCAGTGCCTCGTGGGAAGCCAAAGTACGTGAGTGCACATTCATATCAGCATGTTTTGTGTCTTTTACAGGAGTAGTTGAATGTATGGCAGCTGGCACAGTTATCCTGGCTCACAATTCTGGAGGCCCCAAATTAGACATAGTGGTACCCAACGAAGGACGTATTACAGGCTTCCTAGCAGAAAACGAGGACAGTTACGCCGACACGATGGCTTATATCCTCTCTTTGTCTCCTGCAAAAAGGTTTGAGGTCAGAGAAAATGCTCGTCGCTCTGTGCTCAGGTTTTCTGACCAGCATTTTGAAGAGACATTCCTGTTATCTGTGGAGCCATTATTTAAATAAATGTATATGAATAAAAACTTATACGAATAAAATTAACTTTTGATAGTTGACAATGTGTCACCTGTAAATATATCTAATCTATAATCCCTTGGTTCCATTCAGTAAAGAGATTTTTTTTTTCTTTCTGTCAGGGTATCTGCTTTATGTAATAGAGATTTTTTTCTTGGGAAAGAACTGCTCCTGAAAATTTTCTGTGTTGACTACATGGCAGTACAGTGCACTGCAAAACCCGCTGGATTCACAGAACCCTCATGCTTCCTTGGCAACAGAACTGCATCTGGAATATTGAGTACTTCCAGTTTCCACTCATTTCATGGCTCTTCACTCAGTCACAGTTTTTAAATTCAACACTTCTGTTTGATAGCTTTTGTACCCAGATTTTTTTTTTCCAGAATCTGTAGCACATTTTCAGTTTGCTGTCCCCTGTTGTGTGGCAAAATTCGATTATATGAGATTTTAATTGTGGTTCTGGAGATTTCATTACCTACAGCGATTCTTTTAACTTAATCATATGGTGGTTTTGCTGGCTTGCTTTTTAGTAAGTGTAATAATTGCACTTGTCTATGATCCTCATATTAGCTATTTCTTCACGCCTTTTCACAGTATGACAACTTAATGGTATTTTTCCAGCCCTATTGAAAAGTTTTTGTTCTTGGGGAATAGAAGCGTCTAGATGAGAGGGCGTAATTAAATGCTATGCAAACATGAACATTAAAGCCCTAAACTACTGCTTATTATAAAACTGAGAACACTGTGAACAAAATGTTCAAAAATTGGACATCAGCTTTTGTATCAAAAATGGAAAAACAGTCCTTTTCTGAGCCATCAAAGCAGTATTTTATATTTTAGCAAACTAAGCGAAGTGCAAAAAGCTACTGAAATCGAACTTTAAAATGTGGTTTTCCCTCTGTTTAAACTTCTCCTGGATTATATGAAATTTTGTATATGAAAAAATACGGTTGGAAGAACCTACTCTCCCATATTTTACTAAGAATTAGGAACTGCGCAATTCTCATGGTGCTAATGAGCCCTTTTACTGCTGGTACTAAACCTGCTGAGCAGGTGGTGATACGCGGTGGGGTCAGTACTGTGTGAATGAAACTACGGATTGTAAAGCTCTACTGGCAGTACACAGAGATTGTGAAAAGTTGGGAGAGCTTCTTAAAACAAGGAGCTGTTTGAGCAAGGGAAGTGAAATATACTGACTAGGAGGCTTTATTACGTGATACAAAAATGGTTAAAGAGGGTATGCAGTCAGAAATTTGCTCAAGCAAGTGCTGTCAGAGATGTCCCAGGTAGTTAGAATAATAAAGATGAAAGAGCATTTCAGTCTGGGTGAGGATTTTTCAATATTTAGACATCTGAAGAGTAGCCTGATTTTTTTGCCTTTTAAACAAAATAGTAACAACCTTCTAATTTTAATTAGCATTTAGCACTGTTGAAAAGCAGTTGATTTACTTGGCATTATTATGTCAGCTATCCTTAAGTTTTGTTACTGATGTGACTGAAATTTCAAGCAAGTTAAAGCTTTGAAAGAGTAGCTGTGCTGGTGGTTTAGGTAGCTCTTGCTTCCTGCTCGCCTTTTTCATTGTGGGTATCAATACTGAGTGACCCACGGTTATCTTCTAAATCAGCATCAGATTTTCCGAGTAGTTTGTGAGGTTAATTCATCTTCATCTGTTTGACCTGATGGGAGACTCTGTGGTTCTATCTGCTGGAGAAATTGCCACTTTTTCCAATGATTCCTCTAACTCGTGTCTGAGTTCATCTTCAGAATCTTCAAAATGTCTGTAAAGCAAAGCAAGGTAATTATATTAATTAAATATATCTTTGTTACAAGCCTTTCTCCTTTCAAGGTCTTTGAGATTTTTTTAAACACTTTATAAAGAGTGTCAAGCAACACACATAATGTGAACTGTTCCTCTGTGAGATTGTTTGCCTGTATTTATAAGGCAAGAGAACAGGAGCTTCAAAGCCCTGTTAATACTCTGCATAACAGTTCTAATGACAGCGCTGGCGTACGGCACGTGAAACGGCACAAGTTGAATTAGCAGACTCCGCAAGACAAGGAAGGTTTCTTCATTTATGAATTTAAAAGCTGTAGGCAATGTAACCTGCCATTTCATGAAACTGTTCAGCTGTAGGGATTTCTCTGATGTGCTTGACTTACATGTCTTCACCTTCTGACCTCAGCTCAGGTCTGCCTCCAGCAGCAGCAGCAGCGTCTGTCTCTGAATCCTCGTCCTTGTTTTCTTTTGGGGGCAACACAGTTAATCTCCCTTCTGGAGTGGAAGAGAAATGTTCCTTTGTTTGTGTATTAGCTAACTGTAAAAGTGTATGTGAAGTAATAGCCAATAAGTAAATGCTTGAATTTTTTGTTGTTGCGCAGATTACGACACTGCAAATACCACGCTTCTGTTGTTCTCGATCACACGCTTCAGTCGGCGGTTTGTAACTTCTGCTCAGGGGAATCTGGTGGGTTTGCAGACCATAACCAAAGGACTATAAAGTTAAGAAGGAAAGGCGATCTGATGTTAGTAGGTTTAAGCTCCCAAGACGAGGCTCTGCGTTTTCAGTGGAAAGCTTAGGGGAGTACTGTTTGGGAAGGACAGAAAATTACTATCTGGATGTAGCTCTGGTTACTTAAAAGTGCTCCCTTTCCCTAGCCTGAAGGTGGGAGAACGATGCTGAGAGTCGTTTTAGTGTAAAGACTAAATTCTGCACGGGAGCCAACGCTGTACTCCACAATGTCAGCTGGAGTAGCAGGGCAGGACTGGGTATTGAGTGCCTACTGTATTTTAATAAATGTAGCTGATAAAAGCGACAGCAGTTACAATACCTGTGTGACTTATTCTTGCTTTAGCCCGATGAACTGCTGACATTAGTGAGAAGTGGTTTGAATTTAATTTGTTTGGTTTTTTTTTAATAAAGCTAGTCTTAGGAGAGGAATTTAGCTGGTACATTTAGCTGGTTTAGCCTTCAGGATGGGGCAGTTTTAAACGAGCTCGTTAAGCTGTGAGAAAACAAGCATGTGAAGCACAGTTAGCAGGAGCGTGCTGACTGCACAGTTGCAAATGAAAGCTATTTCTCACGATCCACTAAAATTGCTGAAACTTGGCACGTACAATTTAGCTGTCTTAAAAGTCCTGTCATCCAATTATATGTTCAGTAGATTGGCAATTGTGCATAAAACCACAATGTCCGGTTTCATTTACAGCATCTTCCTGTGGAAAATACTCTGGCTTTTTACCTAACAACTTCGACGCAGCGTAAATGTCATTTTTAAAAGAACCTGTTACTTTAGGGAAGTGTGCTGCGGTCTGAACGAGTTCGAACCAATTCCAGAGTCAGCTGTACCAGCATGGGCCACGCTGCAAAGTCACCACTGGCGTTTTAAGTCGCCGTGTATTACAATTTGCAGCTCTTCTACAGAAATGCATGTATTGGTATAAATGCTTTTTACAGGGTCCTTCAACAGTCGCAGGGGCTGGATCCAGGTTTGAGGTACCTGCCAGCTGGCTGGCAGTAGCAGCTCACCTCTGTCTAATCGAGCAAATGAAAGAATTCTACATGAAAGTAACAGCCAGTAAGTCGGTCTTGCCCTTTTCCCTGATACTGAAAACAGGAATGTCCTGAAAGAGGCCCTTCCCTGCTGCAGGCCAGAGCCCTGGCTGCTGGGACAGCCTGCCCCTCTTCTTCTGGTTTGCCAACTGCTTCGAAACGGGGGTTCTCAAGCACAGACCCTCTGCCAGTGGTAGAAGAAATAGCACACTCAAGAAAAACTTGCAGAATTGACAGTAACAAACATCATACCTGCTGCTTCTTCAAGACGGATGAAGGACTCGTTAGACAGCTCTGCTGCTGCCAAGACGTTCCGGAGTGGTGCTGGTGGTGTGTGCTTCCACCGCGTCCTGCTTGCCGGGGTGTCTTCAGGCAGAGCAACTCGGGCAGCTGGAGAACAGCAAGCTTCTCAGCTCATTAAAGCACAACTGTATTTTGTCAGGTTCAGACTTTCTACTCTTGACATGGATTTCTTCCTATTGGGTAATGCGGGAACCTCTTTTTTTTTTTCCCTTTGTGGAATTGTCCTGAATTCTTTATAAGTATTTGATCTGACTGATACTGTAGAGAAAAAATCACTTGGACTATCTGTCACTAGAAGTTTCTAACACCAGTTTTAATGCTCAAGTAACTGCTTATTAAGCCTGGAATACACAGGTACAGCTTCACTGAGCAGTCCTTGCTCTCAAACTTGTTGGCTTCTTGGGGCTGAAAAAGCTCCAGATAACCTTCCTGCTTCTTTTGCACCCTACGCTCTTTCATCTAAAGCAGACTGAACAAGAAGTGGCATATTAATAATATTCTGCTTTGTCTTCGCCGCCCATACAAATTCTGCAGGTTATTTCTGTGTGTCTGGGGTGTTAGGCACGTGCTGGAAGGCTGGAAGAGCTCCTTGCTGGCAGCAGCCAGGCCCTGGAGATAGCTGGCTGCGTGGGAATGGCGGTGCTGCTGTTACCCAGGCCACAGAGTGACTGAGAAAATGCAGCCCTCTTAATAGGTATGTGCAGCCAAACGTGACCGAGGGGAAAATGACAACTGCATTCTCTGGTTTAACACATCCACTGGCCTCAGTCATTACGAAGCCCTGCGATCAACAGTCTGCCAGATCACGGGAACATTCTGGGACAGAATTGTTCTGACAAAGGTCTGTAAGTAGTCTGGCTGAATTCTAACCGCTCCCTACTTTCATTGAAAAACAGAACTTTCTCACCAGGTTCATTTTCAGCCATAGTAGGGCATACAGATGTGACAGCAGCATCAGCTAGAAAATTCAGTAGCGTCTGAGGGGCTCCAGCCTGCCAGTGTTTTCTGTTTTCTTTTGTATTATCTGCGTCACTGGACTCTGAGGGGAAGAAAAAGAGGAGGCAAAGTTATGTCATTTATTTTAAGTAGATTTCAGTGTGATTATAATGTTATGTGATATAAAGAGAGAGCTCATCAGATAAACTTGCTATACGTTCGCGTTACCCCATTTACCTAACTTCTATCGAATTTTCAGGATTAATATTCAGCACGGCTTTTCCCCAAGAAATACCTGGTTGGTATCCAGATAGTTCTTCCAAAGCTCTGTCCCTACGATCTTCATGAACTTCCACCAGTTTCTCCTTAACATTCTCAGCATCCATAAAGGTTAAAGTCTCAGTGAGTTTGTCTAGTACCTGAAAAAACAATAGGTTACTCTGGGAAGAGAAAACAAATACGGGACAATAACTAATCACTTCCCATTTTACTGTGTTTGCCAGCCATTCTCATGTATGTACAGGAAAGCTGGGTAACAGAAAGTGGAGCAGCTGTATTCAAAAGTCACATTGTGATTTGTGTATCAGAGAGCTTCACAGGGCTCTGCAGAATGTGAAACAACAGAATGACAAAATAGTGCTCTATAAGTTAAGAATACCTATACTAGAAAGAAGTTATATCTTCCATGTTGCTGTTACAAATACTTTTAACGAGTCTAATATATTAATAAAAATCTTAATAGGTAGCAAGTACACGTTGATCAGCCACAGCTGTCATTTCAATAAATGATATCACGTAACGTTGTCTGTAGCCTCACTTCCACGTTTTCTAAGTAACAGCTGGTTCATCACGGTATTATTCTTGCTTGGTGATACAATACTAGTGAAAAGAAACAGAAACGTACCAAAACGATTTACAAATCAAATTTGGCATTTGCAAACTAACTCAATTTTGAGATGAGTTCTTCCCCTCAAGCCCAGTTTAGGCAATTTGAGTATCTCCACTCTTTCATCTTTTACCATGTGAAAGACTGACCCCGATAGCATCCGATATTCCTCTGAGCAATTATCCTCTTGAATAAGGTCAGCTATATGCAATATGTCAACAAATCCTCAATAGAAATCTTCATTGTAACAAAGGTAGAGGTTGATGATAATGGAAAGAAGCCTTAGATCGTGTCATGGTTTCAGATTACTACTTTAAATGCTTTAAATATAACTAGAACATCGTACCTCTGCTTCTTGAATTCTGTCTTCCTCAGGAGCACATAAATCTAGATTAATTTCAAACTTTACTCCTCCCTAAAGAGAATTCACACACTTCATTAATTTATTTTATTAAATAAAAACATTTCATTAAATGTACACAGTTTATATGGAACTACAAGCTTAGTAGCTTATACTGAACAATATTTTTCTTCTATTTGACAAGATCAAAGTGGAATAAATTGGACAAAAAGAGACTTCTCTAAATATAGTTTATGGATATATTCAAACGATTGCATCCACTTTTTATTTTAAGGAAAGGTGTCTTCGATAATCATTTAATTCAAATCCTTGCAATACAGAGCTGGCATACAGCTGGTTCTCAATCAGAATTAAAATTTGGATACTGTACTGCTCCCATGGAATATTTCACACAACACCTTTAGTGCACTTCGCAGTGATCGTATGCTCCGAAACCTTCCTGGTATCTTACATGCATTTCCATTCAACTTCCATCCCCTCCCACAATTTAAAAAGCACTATAGAGAACGTTTTATAACAAAACGGTAAGAAATTAGCAGCCTGATTTGACTTCACTTAAACTCTGAGTAAACACGAGTTCCCATACACTACTAATGCAGTTTGATATAAAGCTGAGCAGGTGGGGATTGATTACTATCTGGGAATATCTGAAGGGAGCCTCCCTCAAATTATTTTAGAGAAGGTCATTTATTTTCTTAGTGATTGTATCTTCTCATAGAAACTTCTAACAGTCAGAAGACCATCACTCTTAATTGACTCAAGTAACTTGATTTCCAGAGCTAGGGTGATAACAGTCATCTGAACTGTACAGACATAAGAAGAAAATGTAAAAAAACCCCAAAACAACAACCAAAAAAAAAACCCCAAAACACCCCACAAAAACAGCAATAAGGACGGATACCTTTCTGTTATGTTTCCTTTCTAGGATGTTTTGGTCTTGCCCATCCTGGAGTCTGACTTGTTTAAAGTTTTCTTCCATGTCCTGGAAGGAGCAAAACCCCCCAACTTTAAAATACATTATTTGGAACCAGAATATGTGACTACCCTGTAAAAAAAAACTTGTGTAAGTACTAAAAGTAGTCACTGAACTCCTAGTATATATATTTCTACCGATATGCCATTTGTTGCCTTATTTTGACTCTAATACAAAAAGACATTACAATTCCGGCTTACCTGGCAAAAAGAAAAATAGGAAACCTTGCATAAAGTGCAAACCTCTGATTTTTCAAAAAAACTATGTTTGGAGGATACAGTACTGTGTCAAGAAATAAATACTACATCTTTTATTTTTTATGATCATACGCAAGATGACTCAGGCTGAAGTGATGAAAATCAAGATTATAATGGAAACCTATGCCTGTAATAAGTATAGCCATGTTTCATAGCATCTTGTTTTCTGGTAGCACCTAAAACATATTTAATTACTCCTTTTCATATTCCTATGTTAGGACCTCTCAGATAAAAGCAAAGTAAAGAGTTGTATGCAGATCCTTCAGTGATCTGCTCCAGTTAGGGCACGTCCTCAACCTCAGGTGAAACCACAACAATTCACAGATTTTACTTTTTTAAAATATCTGTGCAGTTTCTCCAGATTATTAAGTGCCCATGAGCTAAGGTGTCATCGAGCAGGTACAAAATGTAGTGTTTCTTTTTCATTATGTATTTCCCATTAAATCACTGGGAATATAATTTCTGTCCTCTCGTGGCTCTGGCTGCCTACAGCCTACTTGATCCTGTCAAGTGACATGTGACTTCATTTCAGTAAAAGCCAGATTCAGGATCCGTGAAAATCACTGAAGAGGATCCTACTAATATTGGTAGATTCAGCCCAAATTCAAGCTGCAATAGGGTAGCAATGTCTGTCACCAGTTTATGTGGAAGTCTGCCCCTTGCTGCTGAGCAGTGCAGGAAGCCCTACACCACACGAGGCAAATCCTGACTGAAGAATCTTAGTAGCTAGACCAGAGCTGTTTTCCCTTCCGAACAGACTGGGAATTTGTACACTGAGATTCCCTTTCATAAATTAAGGCTTACATTCATTTAACCTGAAGAAAAATGGATTTCTTGCTGCTGAACTCCATGTGGTCTGGAAACCTCATCTGGTGTTCACAATGCCAATATTGCAAAGTAAAAATGGGAGAATTCTGGAACTCCATTCCAGTAGCTGCTCTGGTAGTATCTGATGAGAATGAAGTGAATCAGTACTGTAGCTGAAAATCTCTGGCTCTGCCTCTTCCTCACGCTTCTCCCAGATTTTTGTTTAAGTAAGGACTCTACATAAAACTGGATTCGAATTTCCCACACAGTGCTACTCTGAGCTGTCATGAATTGCTGTATCTTCTGCACAGAATTCTCATAAAGATTCGCACTGTGAGTGGCTTCTTCTTTACTTCACTCAACATACCACAAAAAGAAATTAAGTAAGAATACATCCTAATATTTACAGATGAAAAATGATTAACGAAACAAGTCAGGATTCTGCCAAAGACGCTTCCCAGACGATTTCTGAAGGGAACCTAGGGAGACTTGCATATATGGTGCAAGCATCAGGTGAGATATAAGCTTTACTGTTTGTCACATTTGTCACAGACAGTGAATCAAAGACCATGTGGGACTTGCATGAAAAGTTCTCTTTAGACTAGGAGATGGTTCTGCTACCTGAAGTGACTCTTCTCCTGCTGTAGCTGTATCCTTGGTTTCAGCCTGGTCCTCAGCTTTCCCTTGCCTCACAAGATAGGTTTTATCTTGTATTTTTTGAGTCTCCTAGGGAACGTTTTTACAAAATGTTATTTTCCATTACTTATTAAATGTACTAGCTTAAAAAAAAAAAAAAAAAAAGGAACTATGACTGTGTGTATGTTTGAGCTTTGTTACCTGGAGTACTCCTGCTCTAACTCTGAATTCCTTCATATCGCTGTGGTATTCTTCCCGAATTTTCTGTAATTGTTTCAGGTACTCCTAGTAAAGAACAGTAAGGTAGAATACCTATGTATTAGAAATACATACAGAAGTAACACTAGCTAAACAAAATATTCTATGGATATCAAGCTGTGCATATATGAGAAAAAGGCATCAGTGTCCTTTACTGCCAATTTTAAAGATTACTTGACCCTTCCTATTAGGGGACATTCTGGAGTTATCGCTCTTCCAGACTTTAACTTTTTTTGAAGTTTTCCAGACTGTTTCACGCTAGCTTTTCTGTAGAATTATATCTAAAGGAGCAGCTAATTCCAAGCATAACCTAAGGACTATCTGAGTAATGAGGCTAAGGTTGAAATCTAGAAGTAGAGGATTGGAAATCTGGAGGACAAAAAATTATGTTATATTCATTTTATTGCAACCTGCTCCCCAAAACAAAACAAAACCTGGTAATCTTTTCTTGGAGAAGCTTCAATATTCCCATCCTTTGGAGCAAAAACCTCAAATTTGGCTAAAAGATAATTTTTGCGTTAAGGACATCTCTGTTACTGTCTCTATGAGAGTCTGTCCCAATTTGCCCACGTTACAAATTGACAAATCTATATAATTTCATTTTTTGGAATATTTAGTACAGACTTTGTGTAACTAAACAGCAACAGTCTCTGTACATGATGAGTATGTTCTTATTTCAAAGTCTGACCATTATGTAAAAGTTAATATATTCATATTTATTCTGTCATTTTTTAAAAATCAAAGACAGAAAGATTATGTTTTTACATGTGTTCATGTAAGAAAGAAGTATCAGTTTGTTTCCTCTGTCACCCAAAAGCAAAACCAGAAAAGTATGTTGTTTCTGTATAAAATAATCTCCAAAAGTTATAACGTACTACAGAAGTAGTATTTATCACATACTATTGTATCACATTCTAAATGTCATAGTATGACTTATGAACAGTTAATATACATATACAAATAATGCACGTATCACTGCTTTCTCTGATTTGTACATGTGAGGATCTACTGTTCTCCAACATTAGTTTGTTCAGTGATGTAACTCCTCTAATCTCAGTAGAAGTAAAATCAAAATCAATGCCATGGTTCATGAAATAACTATGGACATCAACTTCTGCGCAAGTCTTCACCTGTTTATGTAAGATAGAACCAGATTAAACAACTTATATTTTCCTAGTAGTCAGATGGAAAAGAATCAATTCCTACGTAAGGAATTGTACTGTTGAGGAGTGTAAGAAGACAGCTTTAAGCACCTAAGGAAGATATTTCATTTACCTGTTCTTTCATTTCATTCTTTCTAGATATGTCCTGCTGATGGTTTCTGAGATGTTGTTCCTCTATTTTCTGCTGCTGTATTTGCTCACGATATGGGTCAGCAGAGGATGGTCGCAGCCCCTATGGTTGTACAAATACATCCCAGAGCAAAGGAATTTTCATTTAGAACCCTTTCCCGCAGTGCTCATTCAATTCACTCTCCCTGACCCACTGAAGAGTGCAGTAAGACAAATGTATATTTTTGGAGGAAAAAGTTAGAGTAGAATTTTACATTGCTACAGTTTTGTATTAGAAAATAAAACCTCAAGATGAGCATTGAGGAGCAGATCAATGAATTCACTGGATCAGAACTTTCTACCCGTCAGTGTTACAGTTTGCTGTTAGAAAGATAATTCATCTTTGGGATTTTCATTCAGTTTCTTTTGCAGATTTTACTCTATGTTTCAGTATTTACTTACCAGCTGTTTTTCTACTTTAATCTTGTACTGTTGGGCTTCAAAACGCCTTTGAAAATATTCTGCGGGCCTGAGAGAAGGAGGTAATGTTCATATACTACATTTTATTTCACAGACTCTGCTATCTTCTGCACAAATAATTCTCTACAGGCTCTATCACATATGACAAACAGAGCTGTCTTTGTACTACATGAATATATACATATGGATAAAATACGTATAAATATGGAACAAGAGTAAAATAACAAAAAGAAAATTTATACATTCAGGCATTCCCCTTCCTATTACTTCAGTTATATCAGCCTTTTGAGGAGAGCAGCAAAGTCCTTCTCTACCTTTTATCTGATAAACGGTATGTGAAAGTGTTAATGAAAATAAAGTTGGTTTTCCTGATCCTCAAAATGAGTGAAAATTATCAGAATGGACGCTGTATATTCAACAACTTTTCTATTTCCTTTTTCCTCTGTGCCCAAGTCCATCAGCCTAACTTTGTACTCATGCAGTTTTGTGGTTTCTAAACATTTACCTCTTCTTTTCTGGTATAAAATAACCAGCAGTCACTTCTAAGCTCCCCAGTTTCTATTTATTTAATTTCCTACCTTCAGAATCCACTTGTGCCCCAGGGAGCCAAGCTGAATTGACTTTCTCCTTAAATAAGGCACTAGAAACTCAGCTCAGACAAGGTGTTCTAAACCTGATGATCCTTAACTGAAATATTCTAAACACTATTGTTATTGAATGAAAATTAATGCTTCGGTCAACCTTAAAGGAAGGATCCTAAAATAGGCAGTATTAAAAATTCCTTACCTTCCTTTCTCAAGGTTTTCAAAGTTCATCCACCTAAAATGGCCAATCATGGAGTGGACTCGCAATCTCTAAAGTAGTAAAAAGACTGTACCTCTATTTTGTAAGAGAAAGGCTTTGAAGTAAACAAACTGCTGGAGAAAGGGTCTGAAACCAAAATATAAGCTCTGCAGGAAAAAAGCATTTTCATAGCCTGCCTCTCACTCTGTTCCCTCAAGTGGAGAACTGCTTTTGGTCTTTGTATCATTCTGCTCCTGGTGGGAAGGAAAGACTGTTTATCCTTGATCTAATCAGGAAGTCTACAAAAAGCCTGTGTGATATTTCTCACCAAATAAAATGCTGAGATCTGGGAGACATTTTGACAATGAAATTTCAAACAGCAGGACAACACATTCAGAAGGAACTTCTGGATAGATAGGAACAGGAGTTATGTTGTGCAATAAACTTATGTAAAAAAAAAAAATTATCAAAGACCAAGCAGAGAAGGAATTATACTGAATGAGCCATATCCAGTGTTACCTAATCAGGAAGGCTGATAACTCAAAAGATGCATGAAAGTTCACTACTAATAAATAGAGCAAAAAAGGCTTACCAGTCGGGTGGTGGGGGTGGAGGTGCAACTTGTCCTTTTAGCTTATCGTATTCCTCAACTCTTTGACTTACATGAGAAAGGTCGTTGTGTGCATTAGCTTTCCTCTGCAAGTTGTCCAGCTTATCATAGTAATGACCATAATGTCCATGTACTTTAATACTTTCTGGCCTTTCTGCCATTTTAAATCTGGAGCTCTGCACCTGAAAATATAATAAAGGATGTTCATTTACTTGTTCTCATTCGTATCAGTCCAAGTTTGAATTAACTTCCTGTCCTTCTCCCCAGTCTGAGTTGCATGGTAATATAGTCTACAGTACCGCCAGTATAAATTTTCCAAATCCTTTCACATATAACCCAGAAACTTCCTAATTTCTCAGGGTATATGTCATTTTACCACTGTCTTCTCCTGTCTTCCATGTTCCATCAGCTCCTGTGATTAAGCAGCAGCCCGTATTTTTGCGCAAGTCAATCGGTTTGGGCCTTTGTACCCTGTAGTGTCACTGCCCTGGAGTCCCTTCATTGTTCTGAAGCCTAACGCACTCAATAAATTCCATGAGAATCTTATTTGGAAGTGGGAGACTGTGCTGGGTTCCTGTGGTGCAGGTGTTTTGGGTAGCAGGGGAGGGGGCTGCAGCGCTGGCCCCGGGGAGAAGCTTCTCGAAGCTCCCCCGGCTCCAAGTCGCACCCAGCTCTGGCCAGGGCCCAGCCAATTAGTGGTGGTGGCTGCGGCTCTGCCATAACGTGTTTAATAAGGGGAACCCGGGGGGGTTGGGACTGGCGAGGAGGAGTTGGGAGAAGGACGAACACCCAGGTCAGTGGAAGGAAGGAGAAGGACGTGGGGGAGATGTGCCGGAGCAGAGCCCCCTGGATCCCGTGGGGAGGCGGCAGGGCCGCCCCCCTGCCACCCACGGAGGTCTGTGGTGGAGCAGATGTCAACCTAAAGCCTGGGGAGGAGCCCACACCGAGACAGGCGCCTACACTTAAAGTAGGCCGGGACTCTGAGGGGAGAAGCAGCCCCCGCTGTGGTGGTTCGGCGCTGGGAGGGCAGCAACACGCGGGGGGGACCCACGGCGGAGCAGCCTGGGAACGGCTGCGGCCCGTGGGGAGGACTGATGCCGGAGAAGGTCCCTGGAGGCCTGTCTGCAGTGAGAGGGGAGCCCCGGGGAGCAGGGGAGGGCTGGGCGGCGTTCCCCCCCGCTCCCGAGCAGGAAGGAGCAGGAGCTGGCTGTGACCCCCATCCCCTGCCCCTGCACTGCTGGGGGAGGAGGGGGAGAGACGGGGAGCAGGGCTGAGCCCGGGGAGAAGGGGCGGGGGGGGAGGTAGTTTTGGATGCGATGGCACTTCTCACTGTCCCACCTTGTCTGTTAAGTGTTGTCTTTGTTAGCGTTCGAATTAAAACGATGGTTCTTTTTCTTCCAGCAGCAAGTCTGCCTGTTGCCTGTGACCGTTATGGACGAGCCATAACTGGATTCCTGAGACACTTCTGCTTCATTTTCTCCTTCCCATTCCTGAGAGGGGAAGGGGTGAGTGAACGGCTGTGTGGTGCTCAGTTGCCCTTTGGGCTCAAACCACCACAGAGACCAGGGGGAATCTGGGATGGAGTTTCAGGCACGATACACATTGACTGCTGCTTTCAGGGGAGCTCTGTGCCACATGTCACCATGCCTGTGATTATGTGCCTGTGATTATGTGCCTGTGGGATCTTGTCTTTCACTTCTCAGAGTCCTTACTGTGATGAAACATCCCTGTATTTCTACTATGTGACAAGACTGTATTTTCCATTTCTTCTAAGAACAATGGAGAGAAGGTGATCAGCTAGCTGCCACTGCATGATATAAAAGAAAAGTGGTAAGACATCCACGAACTTTTCCATGGTGGGAGACTAAAAACCACTGTATGTTGTATAAGAAAAATGCGAAAAATGCTAATTTTGGCTTATTTTCTTACATAAATTAAAAAGCATCTAAGTATCCCTTCCTTAGATGGTAAATACATTAATTGTTTGTCCCGTTTTTCCTTCTTAGAAACACTGGAAATAGGCTCATCTACGTATGGTATAATCCAGATTACAGTAGAATATAGATTCATATCTATATAAGAAGAAAATTTTCCACTGACAGTAATGTTCCCAAGGAAGAGGCAACCTCAAAATGTGTTTATCTTGTCCCTCACTGAAATCAGTTTTACAGTATCATTTCCAGAAGCATGGCAATTCCAAGCAATAAGGAGAACAAATCAGACCATCTAAATAAAAGTCAGAGGATTGAGAACTATGATCAGTGAAGCAGGGGCCCTGGTGACACAGGCCATGGAAAAGGCTGAGGTACTGAATGCCTTCTTCACCTCGGTCTTTACTGGCAAGACCAACCTTCAGGCCCTTCAACAAGGGGGAAAGTGCAGCAAAGAAGACGTACCCTTGGTGGAAATGGATCAGGTTAGGAAACAGACTGGACAGACGTCAGTCCATGGGGCCTGATGGGATGGACCCACAAATACTTGGGGAGCTGGCACATGTCATTGCCAAGCCATTCTCTATTATCTTTGTATGATCACAGCTGTGATTGGGAGGACTGCCCAAGGACTGGAGGAAAGCAAATGTCATTCCTATCTTCTAAAAGAACAGGAAGGAAGACCGAGGAAACTACAAGCTGGCCAGCCTCACCTTAATGCCTAGCAAGGTAGTAAAGAACTAATCCTGGAAACCAGACACATGAAGGGCAAGAAAATCATCAGGAATAGCCAGCATGGATTCTCCAAGGGTTAAGCCATGCTTGATCAACTTGGTAAGATTCCATGATGACAAAACTGAGAGGAGTGGCTGATACACCAGACGATTGTGCTGCCATCCAGAAGGACCTCAACAGGCTGGAGAAATGGGTGGACAGGAACTTCACAGAGTTCAATAAGGAAAAGTGCAAAGTCCTGCACTGTGCACCTGCACATGCTGGGGGCCACCCAGCTGGAAAGCGGCTTGGCACAAAAGGACTTGGGTGTCCTGGTGGACACCAAGTCGGCCACAAGCCAACAATGGGCCCTCACTGCAAAGAAGGTGAATGACATCCTGGGTTGCATCAGACAAAGTATTCCCAGCAGGTCAAGGGGGGTGATCCTTCCCCTCTACTCGGCACTGGTGAGGCCACACCTGGAGTGTTGTGTCCAGTGCTGGGCTCCCCAGTGCAACAGAGACATAGACATACTGGAGAGAGTTCAACAAAGAGCCACAAAGATGATTAAGAGACCGTAGCACCTCTCCTATGAGGAAAGGCTGAAAGAATTTGGACTTTTAAGCTTACAGAAGGCTTAGGTGGGATCTTATCAATGAACATAGACACCTGAAGGAAGGGTACTAAGAGGACAGAGCCAGGCTCTGTCAGTGGTGCCCAGTGATGGGACCAGAGGCATTGAGCACAAACTGAAACACAGGAGGTTCCCCCTGAACATCAGGGAACACTTTTTCACTGTGAGGGTGACTAAGCACTCGCACAGGTTTCCCAGAGAGGTTGTGGAGTCTCCACCTTTGAAGATACTCAAAAGCTGTTGGGATATGGTCCTGGGCAACCAGCTCTAGATGATCCTGCTTGAGCAGGGGCGTGGACAAGGTGATGCCCAGGGGTCCCTTCCAACCTCAATCATTCTTGATTCTGTGAATCCTGAAGCAAGCCATTCAAAGTATGACACTGTGCAAATATCCTTGCAAACTGATTGCTACATGTGAATGCTGAAAGAATGTGGGAACTTTCCCAGTGTTAATATTAGAGGATGTCTTGTAGATAAAAACACTGTGGACAAAAATCTGCCTTTGATTACAACAGTGCACAGTGAAAGAAAACTTAACCAGCATCTCTGGATTTGCATTGCATATGTAACTATGGTAACTATTAGGAAAACTAAATCCTATATTCTGCATAGGTCCGGTATTATGACAGGTAGTGCAAGTGACTGTTTGAGGGCTGCAGTTCTGGGTACCCCACAAGACTCTACCATCACTTAACCCACTGTAACTCCACTATGCAATTACTGCTGGGAGCTCCCAGATCCTAAATGTGCTTTGCTCCGTGTTCACCAGCACGCAAAGCAGTGCTATGTGCTCTTGAAGATAAGCATAAAGGTATGAAGTGATATCAAGTAAGAGGCTGGAGACAGCATACAGCTGATATCCAGCCTGAGGAAAGGAGGTGGAAAATAAGTGAGGGACACAAATGGCTGTGAAGAACTGGAGTTTTCTGCTGTAACATCTGATCACAGCTTGTTGTAATAATATCTAAGACAAGGGCAGTGGGTGCCAGTGGTTTTGCCCATGAAGGGTTGAGGTAAGAGAATCAGTGTATTTGGTTCTATAGCAAAAATGCAAACACAGAGCTTATTTGCCATTGTGCAATGTAAATGCAAAGCATGCCTGACTCCTTTTGTTACAAAGGACCATACTGAGGCAGCCAAAACTCAGGGTTTCCCACATACAGTTAACTGACTCCACTGACTCAGTGTAGGCATTAAGCTGAATTTAATACATCTTAAGCCTTTTAAAGGGTCTTTTCTAAGGGCAGGAATTTGCCTTCTGAAGATTATTAAATATTAAGAGAATGTGGATGCACAGTACCTGAAAAATAGGCTGTTGGCCTCTTGAAGGAGGTTTCCATTCATTTATTTGAAATAATTCCTGTTTGACAGTTACCACCATTCCAGATGCTGGAGGAACTTGGTCCTGGACTCCTCTTTTTTGAAGTTTATCTGCTTTTTAATGATAAAAGTTTAAAAGGTTACCTTCTGTGCTCTCTACAGGATTAATGATAACGTAGTTGCAAGCCACAGTAGGGTACATACAGCTAACGCTGACAGTCTGGGCTAACAAACACTCCTTACATCCTTTCATCATCATCACTGTGCTTCCCATTTCCTAGGCATTCTGCCTTTCACCCTTAGAATGACATGTTTTTGAAAACATGACTTAACACACACATGTAAAGTGGATCTTACTGATTAGTTTTGCAGGGAAGCACACTAAATAAGAGGGAGACCTCTATAAACTAGAATGCTGATTTGACGCTCGTACCAAGAGCAGGAAACAGGCCTGGTTCTGAGGCTCAGATTTCACGGGAGGCTAGGTGTCTACCTGCTTAGGCATTCCCTTTCTAAACCTAGCTCTCAGTATTCTACAAATCACTAGACAGTGTTGTAGTACTTGTGAAATCTGGGAAGAAGGACTGAAAAGGGAAAAAATTAGCTTATCAGTTCCCCAGATAGAAGAATAAAAGTACAGCCCATTCCAGTTTGGTCAGTGAGTATTTTGCAAAGATCTTATCTGCAAAAATGAAACCTAGTGTCCTTGCTATGATTAAGTGGTTTCTAAATGAGTTCCGAATTTTCTCTGAGTAATGACTGTTAGAGTATCGTGTCTAGAAGAAAAAATATGTAAAAATTATGAGTGTATGACCATAGGTATTTTTTAAAAATGCCTAAGTGACTTAGGTATTCAGGTGCTTCTGTCCAAATCACATTGGACCTGAGGACAGATAAATCACATTGAAATTTGTTATTTACAAAATAACATGGATTTCTATACTACTGAAGAATTTTGGGGGCAAGGGGAAGAAGTCCACAGCATAGTTAAGTAACTACATAGGTTTATTTTCACAAATGTGTTTAAACTACTTTAGTACCTCTGAAGATATATTTAAGGAATAATTAAGATATACTGAAGAATACAAAATTAGGAAAAGGTTATGGTGCCAGAAACATGTCAGATGTTCAGCAGTTCATACAGAGATACCAATTAGTCTCAGCCATGTTTTCTAAGAACGTGCATACACAATCTGATCTATCAATGAGCACTAAACCAAGGAGAGTTCATCATCTCTCACAATTTAATCTAATTTATAATATTTTGTAAAATGCATTTTCATTATTTTGTAAAATACCATGAAGGAAGTTTTGCAAGATTTTTGCATTTTTCCATATAGTTTGGCAAAATGAAGTAATGTGACAGACCTATACTGCACCTTGACCAAAGTCTCTCAGTTTGTAAATTCTGTTCTTAAAAGAATTAAGATAAACATTTCAGCATGTTCCTATGGCAGTTTTTCTAGCTGAACATTTCGAATAAGCAGGTCTTAAAGTTGTCTTTTCCCAAACAGAACGGCAATGCAGTGTTTCTGCTGTTGCAGTTCTCTCCTCTTTTTATTTTCGACTTTGTGTGAAACTCTTGTGTCCAAATGTGCCTGAAAGACTTCTGGAGAAAGTCAGAGCCATCAAGCTATAGAGCAGAACTTATGTTAAGTAATACCTTGTATCAGCTTGGCTCCAGGCTCTGATGCTGAAGGGTCTTTTCCATCTACCACAGCATGACTTAGTTCTTCCTGTGCCATTTATAAGCAAAAAGGTTATCTGATAGAACTGTTTATGCTACTTCGATACACATTTTTTCTCTCAGCAAGTAGCAGTAAAAGGCACTCACCTCAGGGGGCAAATACCTGAGGACAAGCTTCTGCAAGAAGGGCTTCCTTAAAATAGAGTTGATAGATGGTCGATCTCTTGGTGATACTTTAAACAACTGGGAAATTAATAGCCTCAGATCATATGAGTAGTTGGGAGACACTGGGTGAAAATGTCCTCTGCAGATCTTCAGCACCAGCTGGTGCAAACTGTTGCCTTCAAACTTAACCAAGGAAAAGAGCAAAAAGAGGACAGTAAGTACTGCTGGTTGGAAATTATGGACTAGGCACTTCAACTTGAAAACAGGTACTTGCAGACAGAAGCCCCGTGCTATGCAATCTCTTCACAAATCCTTTCACAAATATGGATATCCCAAACTATATCCATAGTTTGCTGTGGAAAATTAATATAACCACTCTCTGACTGTATTTTCTGATTATGTTCTCCTTGTTTCAGTTGGACAACTCAGCAGGTCAAACAGCTTTTGTACCTTGAAGAGTTTTATTCATACTCTTCTGTCATACAGTAGCAATTTTCCCAGAATGAAACCTGTTTTGCCAAAATCCGTTCAACAGAAGCCTGCACACGTGCTATACTTACAGTGTTCACCTTCAAAACCTCACTCCACACAACTTCGTCTCTGCGTTCTGTGTTCTCTCAGGAATCAAGGTACAATCTGATTTTTTTAACTGATGCTACTCAGATAACTCAGCCCTCTCAGTTCAGCAGATCTCTTAACAGGTCAGCACCAATATAGTTTTAAGGGCCCTAGACAGGCAAAACTAATTTTGAAAGCAACTTCTTTCTAAAATTGCCATTTTATTTGAGTATTTTGAAGGTGGTGTAACCAAAACTTGCCTTAGCTTCGTTTGCATTTCCTGTCTACGTTAGCATCTACTTCCTGCCTTCAAATAAAAAACCAAAATGGGCAGCAATACAGAGTACAACAGCTAGTATTCGTAAGAACTAATATTAATGTTTTCTCACTTTGTGAAAACTGGAATTTTCCTCAGCAGTATCCCCTTGCTCTCAGCTCAGCACAACTGCTCTCCCTACCAGTGCTGCTCTGCCTTCTCCTGCATCCAAGCTCAGCAAAAGGTCAACTTCTGCTGGGCCCAGCAATCTGATCCTTTTCCTGCTGTCGGGAGCGGTCCTGCTGTGTTCCCTTCCCCACATAGTACTCACAGGCCGAGGATTATCTGAGGCTCAGACCAGGCTGAGGACAACACAGCTTCCTGATGTTATCTTCTGACACGAATGTGCTTCCAAACAAAATTAAACCTTTAGGAAAATTATTCTGGGGACTCAAACTGCTTGCCGAGGAAATGTGGGTCTCAAACTCTTTCGTAAGTATAGCTTGGTATTTTCAAACAGAAATGAGTAAAATTATATGACTAAAGCCTAACCTTGAAGTCTGGCTTTCATTAATAATGATGATGATGATAATAATAATTAACTGTTCATCTACCTTTTCAAAAAGTTTTGTACTTATTAAAAAGTAAATGTATGCTTGATGTGTGTGTGTATATAAATTGTAGAAATACAGCACAGTACATTGTATTCTAGTATGCACAAAACAGACACAATACGAAAAATTACACACTGGCAGTCATTCTTTAAAATCAGTAAGGAAGTTGAAAATAATTCTGGCAGCTGCCTATGAATACTATTATCACTACAGTTTTTGCAAGCTGGCCACTATCTGTTTTAAGAGTATGATATTGACCTGATTCTATGGTACTTACAGGATGCTTTAGTGCACATAGTTCATAAAGCACACAGCCAAGAGACCATATATCTCTGTGAATAAAAAGCAATTAAAGTTTCAGGGTAAAGACTATATTTTCATACATGTAATCAGTACCTATTCTCAGCTCTCAAATTTATTAACAGTATTCCATCACAGATTAACACTGGTGCAACTTTTAATTTTTCTTAGGATGCACTGAAAACAACCCGAAATTTCTTTCTAGTTGTGATATCAGTGTTTCTATGATACCCAACTAGGTACTACAGTTTTCATTGGAAAAGGCACATGACATAAAGCATGCCTGCTTAATATTCCCAGCAGGGTGAAGGGCAAAGCTCTCTCTGGCTGACTGGATAATTAAGGAGACAATAAGGGAGTAAACTTGTATAAATAGCACCTCAGAGCTGAAATGCTAGTCTGGGCTCCAGGATTTTTGGTGTTGATCACATACCACACAGAGAGAGGGGGGGTCTAGCTCACTCAGTTCCCGACTTTTCAGTGCTTCTCATCTTGTTATTTTGGTATTTTGTGTTAAGCCTGAGTGAACCCTTACAATTGGACCTATTTTTTTCCTGTAAGTGGCTACTGCAAAGTTCCAGAATTGCCAACCTAGCAGCTTTCATTTTAGTGTATTTTTATAAATCACAAGTGAACGTATCAAAACTTCACAAACTTGGAACTGAAAAGATCTGTACTTGCATTGGTTATTACTTGTTGGAAAGAGAGGCAGAAATTTAATACTTGACGGAGAACCAGATAAAGCAAAGAAAAAAAAATTATTTTACATTTCATGCCACTACTAGCAAGGAGTACTAAAAGAGAATGAGATTAAGCTTTTAAGTTTAAACTACAAGTAACTTTATAAAAGCAAAAAATATAACTATGTTAAGCCTGTAGATGAATCACAACAAATTAATGATTGCTGTACTCTGGACACTGTGAGTCAAAATACAACTGACAGTGTTGTATAGTATAACATGGTTATTGTATACAATTGCTGAACTTAATTATTGTATGCAATAATACAAAATTTCATAAAGAGGGACACCTGAAATTTCTGGTGCCCTGCAAAAATACTGATTTAAGCCATGATGTCACTAAATAAGTTCTTGCGTGGCTGTATGCCCTCACGCACAAGTGTATGAAGGAAAGACAGAGACTTACGTTTTGTTGTTATATGGTCGATTTTCACAGATCTCTGGTGACAGGTAATAGGGGGTCCCTACACAGGTATGGGCAAACTCCATAGTGCTGATGAAACACGATGAACAAAAAGCCTTACAGACTGAAAAAGTTTACAAGCAATTGAACGAGAGGCTTCCATGCCCCAGTTGAAAAGCCCATGGGGGACATTACTGCTGCTCTCCAATAGTTGAATAATGGAATACCCTGAGAAAAAGTAAAGTATTTCCCAGCTCTGTGTAAAAACGACCAACTATTTTAATAGCGGAGAGCATCTGCACTTCAACAGAAAGCACAAGAATTCTCTTTTCCTCAGTTTTCACCAGCATTGTAATCAACTTTTTCAAGGAACGTTTACCATTAACACAGCACTCTGAAAGTTGTCAAACACACAGCAAAATATTAGAAGTCTCCAACATATTAATTGAAACAAGAATATCATAGGTGGGAGTCATTCACGCAAGCCAGAAACAGTGGAAGGAGGAAGTGCTGTCCAGAATCTAAAGCAGGAATAAGTGAATTCTAGTTCCATCTTTGCTGCTGACTTGTGAAGGTGTGGCCAAATAGCACCACTTGAATTCATTTAACTTGCTTTTAAGCATCTACACTATGGATGTCATCAAGAGCCCCTGAGAAGTCAGCAGAGAAAAACAGGTACTGACAGAGTGTGATTTCTCTCACTCTATACTAGATGTCAATGGAAGTTGTAAGTTACTCTCTTCATGGAGTGCATGAAGTCTGAGTGCCAGAGCTGCCACAGACACGTGATTGCAAGTAAAAGCATTAGACGCTATTGCATTTTGGAGAATGGAGATGAAGATGCTTTTGTATACCCCGGGGGAGGAGGAAAAGAGCCTGAGAAACTTAAGTCACTTGTTATATGAGGAAAAATACTCCCAATCTCCAATTATTCTTGTTGTATAAGCCTATTAAATACTCTTTAAAATGCCTGTACTCAGACATTCAAATTCCAAGGTTTACCTCCCATCTGCTATGTATTATTCTGCTGTGTAGCAGCAATCCGTACAGCAATTATCCCCAGAACACTTCTGAAGTTAGGCACTTTCTGCCCGAGTAGGTGACCTGTGGAGGCACTGACAGGAGGTCTGTGCTCCACAAAGGAACACACCACAAAGGTACGAGAGCTGGCAGAGTCTGCAGCTACAACAGCAACATGGCATGCCCTGGAGAGGAGCCGCCTTGGACCAAGGGACTGTCCAAACACGTTAATCCAATACACTCGAACTCTCAGCAAGGCTTCCTAGCTCCGATGCACCACTGAACTTGCAAGGTTATGCACACCTAAATCCAAAGCCAACCTGATGCGGCCTCGGCAGAAATTACACACGCCGTATGTCCATGTGAAGAATGCATAAAGGTACCTAATACATGTACACAGTTACGTACATCTGAAGAGTATGAGCAAATTGTCTATGTTGGTTAAAGTTACCCGTTCTCTTCACTGGTGCTGTGTAGGCAGAAATGTGGTCAAACTTGCACTGGCTCAATTTAGGAACAGGAAAAATTTTAGCAATGTGTTGCAGCAGGTGGAGTACAAAGCAATTGAGAAGGACCGATACTGGGGGGACAATCGACAAAACGATTCACAAATTACCTTTCCACACAATACCAGTTTAAATTGCGGACCTTCTTTGCCACAATATCCTGCCAAGGTCGAAGATAATCAAGCAGCATAAAGAGAGATCAAATCCAAGCACTGTCCCGTTGTTAGCGTGCCCCCTGGCATGTTTTGGCCACACCAGAGAGCACTCTCTCAGCCAACACCTGGTCACCATGCAGGCCAGACCAGGCAGTAAAGACAAGGCCAAGCTCCTCGGGAGAAGAGTTTAGCCCTACAGATGCAAGCCATGCCATGATGTGTCATTTACTCTCAGGCCCAGAGAGTGGGTTCTGGCCCTTTTTAGAAAATTCATATAGGCACGGTCTTCGAGGACATACAAAGAAAATCTGTAGGAACTCTTCTCTTATACTCCTTCCTAAGCTTTTAACACTCTTCGCTTTATTTATTTATGAGGCACCAGAAGTGATTATCAACAGCTGCAACAGCAGGAGCTGTGCCTCCAGAGTCTCTTTATGTCCACACAGAACAGGGAAAGATTGGGGCTCCCCCACACTATGTGCTATACATTAACAGCTACTAGGCTACATACATCTGTGGTTTCATGCAGGATGGCATATTTTAGGACAATAGAAGAAAAAAAAAAAAAAAGTAGTGTCAGAACCTTTGTATCGCAGATCCCCTGAACAAGCAGAGTCCAACCTGCACGTTCAGGTTGCATTCTGGGCATTCAGAAACAGTCCTATTTGGGGTAGGTGACAGATTAATTTAAAAAGGTGCTTACCTGTTCAACTGTCTTGCTATGCCAAAGTCCCCAAGCTTTGCTACCTTTCCATTATTGCTAAGAAAAATGTTCTGCAAATAAAAACAAAACTGGTATGCAAAAGTTAAACGCAGCAGAGCTTCTTAAGCATATTTCTTACACGACAAAATCATTGCCTTTCCAGTACCAGTTTTATTACCTGTGCTTTCACATCTCTGTGTAAAATCTTCTTGTCATGAATATGCTTCAAGCCCAAGGAGATCTGCACAAACCAACTCAGAATCTGCAGTGAACGATAAAGGAAACAAATATCTATAAATTTCTGTGACTCTTATGTCCAGTGGAGTATCTTACTGAAATATATAAAATAAAGATAACAACAAAATATAAAACATGTAGAGCATATACAAGATAAAATAGTAAGAAGCAATGTTTTTAAAATTAATGCCACGGACTTTTCCTTTTGTTTTTTTAGTTCTATCAGAAAACCAAATGGAAATAGATACCTGTTCTACTCCCCTTATCCCCAAGTTTTCACTGACTGTGACAGGATGAGTGCTTGAACAAGGACTAAAGAATCAAGTCAAAGGACAGCAGGAATGCTAGACTTATATTTAGAAATTAGTGAGTTCAAACAGCTAAGACAGAACAGGAAAGTATCTTAATCCTCAGGGGTGGAAGTCATACCCCTCAGTTACTACATTTGTAGTATTACCGAATGGGGTCCAGAAAAAAAAAAACAGAAACAAAGGATGAAGGGCTGAAATGTGGTGAAAGAAGGGAGCTGTGAAGCAACTTAAGTAAGCACACTGGTCTATTCTTTATCCTTGATCCAGTACAGCTCTTAAACATATCTTTAACTTCAAATACACGTGTTTTCTTGAATAAGGGCCTTTGGACTTAATTCAGAAATAAAAGCACAATGTGCTTATATGCTTCTCTATTTAGGAAAATTGATGGTCATGAAAGACTTTGATTCAAGTAATAAGCTTCTATTTAGTAATGCCTCACATTAAGCAGTTTCCTGAATAGCGCTGATGCCACAAGTAAGACTTTCTTAGGCATACATTTGAAAAATATAACGATATTTTAACAACATTATGTTAAACTGGGTAATTTGCTTTCCTTTCTTGATTGGCAGATGTATCTTTAGTTTCTATAATCCAGCATTCTGTCTGTACTCCCTTTGCCTTTCTTTGGATATGTATTATTCTGTCTCATTGTCGAGGGGTTTGTGTGTGTTGGTTCTTTTCTGTTTCTTTTCTTTTCATGATCTGTGGTTTTGTTCTCTCTTTATTCTCTCTCATGTTCTCTCTACCTCTAGTATGACTCCCAATAGGATCTTAAAATTCATTATTACTGAACCAGTAGTTTACTTCCAACTGACTTCTACACTAAGGAGTTCCTCGTTTACTACTAAAGCAAAAAAAAAGAAAAGTCACAATACTTTTTTTTTCCCCACTTTTATACTTTAGAGCATATTTCCACTAACAGGGTGGATACTACCTATCTAGTTTCTAGGTAAATTTTCACTGTACCTGCAGAAGTTTAAGACTATGCATGATTAAATAACCTCAGAGTTCAGTACACTAAGTCCAATATATAAGAGACAATTTCCTTCAGAAAGCTAAGAGTTAATAAAAAAATAAAGGAATAAGTAAGGAATAGTGGGAAATTCTGTTTCTGTGAATTGCAATATCTATCATACTCACCTATTTACAAAATAAACTATATGTGAAGATGGTCCAAAAGCAGTCAGATGTCCGAGTTTATTTCTCTGTGCTGGTTTAACAACTTAAATGGCATCAGAGAAGTTCTGACCCAAATTAAATGAATGAGAGATTTACCACTGACTTCAGTGTAAAACAGGGTATGTCATGATGCAAATAGCATAAACAAATGAAGAATTAATATATAATATATCCCCCCCTAATTCTAAAACGTCATTTAAAAGAAAGTCTTTATGGCTTAGTAGGTATACTACTAATACAAAGAAAAAGTGCATCCACAATGGAAGGAACAATAGGGAAGGGGGATAAAAATGGCATCAAAATGCTGGTAATGAATTAATTTAAGATCTTAAGGCAGTGTAAAAAGCAAATTTTGAACTCCCATTAAAATTACCGAAGTTTCTTTAAAACATTTATTTAATTTAACAGAGCAGAAAAGAAAGAGTAGCTAGTACTGGATAATTCAAACCATGTGTTTTACATAATATGTCCTTTCCTCTAAAGATAACTTCTTTCACCTGGTCCTCATCAAATAGCACTCCATGCTGCATATTTATCCGCTTCATTAAATCTCCACCATCACAGTATTCCATCACAATATATAGCTTGTTCTTTTCTGAAAGCAAAAGTATAATTTTTCCTTTATTACTCATTAATACATCAATAACTTTTTTTTCATATGGTCCTTCTTTTAAAAGAGAGTAGTTAATCCTCTATCTACTTCTCCATTTCAAATAGTAACTGAGAAAAAAATGGATACTTCAGTGAAAACTGATACAACACTCTACAACATGAAAATATTTTTAAATGGATATTCACCAAAATATTAAATACATAGAGAAAACCCTCAAGAGACCACACTGATAGAAAGGCAGATGTTCCTACAGGGAATGCTTAGCAGAATGTTTCATAGTTGAGATTGTTACACGATAATAACTACTTATACAGTTAGACTAAGGGAAAAGGTTAACAGTAGACAGCATCCAAACAGTAGAAATAAACAGCAGGGGCTACTTAATATGGAAATTCACCGTATTCTTACCTCTCTGGGGACCAGAAGACTATCAGATTTATGTGTCCCTTAAAACATTTACAGTTCTGATCACAGAAAACAATCTGAACACAAGCTGTAACTACAGCATTCATTGCATAAGGCATTGCTTATGACCAATGTCAGTGGGAAAAATAAATACAGGGAATTAGCTTTTATGAAGAACAAACTTCCTTCTATCTCCTTCGGTCCTGAAGAATTCTCTATCTTTGATACCTTAAAATACGGCTCATGACAAAACGCCAGCAGCACCTATTTCTTGCTATACTCAAAAGCTCTTTTCTACTGAAACTCCTAGAAAAGTCTCATTAAACTCTGGACTCCTACTGGAGATCAAGTCTAAAGTTCAGCTTAAGCAATGCAGACACCCCAGGATCTAGCATTCATGCCACGATACCTCAGGTTCCATCTACGCACACGAAGAGGGCAAGTGATGACAGAAGTGGATACCTCATGTTTGGTTTTAGGAATTGGGACCTGTCCCCACCAGTAAGTAAGGGGCTGGGGACAGGCTTAAGGTTGGGCAATATTAACTAGGTAGGCTTTGCTGACGTCCACTCCTATAATCACAAATAGAACAAAACCGTTAAAGACAACCTTGCAAAGAAGCATAGAAGGTTACGATATTTGCATGCTGCATCTTAGCCAGAAGAATGACTTCTTTCTGAGAGGCTTCTTTTTCTTTCACGGGCATCTACAAATAATTAAGAAACTATATGCTAGCAATGATATATTCAACTCTTTTAAAAAATTGTTACATCGTTTATCAAACCATTCCCACAACTACAATAACACTGTGTACCCAGGTGATGCAGAAATAGTAAAAAATATGATGCATATATGATGTAAAATATCAATTTGCAGTGTATGCTTAGAAGTATATTGGAACATTACTGAAGTCAAACCAAAGCATGACATTTTACAAACAGGCACATGTATACCTTTAAAATTTTTACACAAATGCTATTGCTAAGCATATATGGGCTATGATGAATAGAGTTAGACTTTGAAATTAAACTTCCCTGAAGTACTTGAAGAATAAAAGTCTAGATGATTTTGTATTCTTAACATGGATGATTTCAAAAGAATAAAGTAAAAAGAAAAAAAAAGAGTCCTTTGTTTTACTGGTGTTATGAGTTCTTGCAACATTTCAGGCAAACCCTTTGCCCTTATTATATTAAATGGCAAACTTAATTTGGTTCACTGTGATCATACTTTCATCAATATTACTTCTTAAAAACTAATGTACGTGAGTATCCACCCATCAGAATGTCCTCCTTTATTTATAAAAAGTTTCTTACCATCATTTCTAAGAAATAATTTTGAAATGTAATCCTCAAAGATTCAAAAATCAGAGAGTGAGTGAAACACACTCTACCATACAAAAAATCTTACGACTTTCAAGTAGTAATCTTCTGCATCCAGCTCCTACCAGTGGGATCCACAATAATATTTCATTAACTTCCATTTTTCTATTTTGCATACATCAAAATCTGAGATTAGAAATGCATGGGGTTTATTGGTCATGAGCATAGAGAGAAACTATTTGTTTATTTAGCTGTCATTACTAGCATATCATTTTTTCTGGGTTTGAATCTGGAAATTATACAGCTCTAGAACTTATGTATAAAAATGTATTCTTCTCTTGTAACTCTCTAATATATTAGAAATTCACTAGTGTGGCTCAGAATAGCAAAAGACCTGTCAAAAGCATGTAGGGACTCACTGAAATGGACTGTTGAAACTCCTGTACTGAAGTCACAGAGAGTTTAACTGCCTGCCTTTCTGGAACTAGATCCAGGAGTGGTAGTCCTCTGATACTTGAGGCAGCGACTCTGACCTGCCCCTGCAGCCGACAGAGTGCTTTTATGCCCCAAGTCAGCTCCTTCTAAAACAGAAGTCTAAAACATACACGATCAACAGCTTTCTAAAAATCCCTACTTCCCTTGTTCTCCTAGAAAGGGAGACGAGCCAAGCAGCTCGGCTGCTGACAGCTACAGAGTGGAAATTTACAATTAGATGAGATGAATCAAACTACCATAAACATAAATGAGAATTGGAAAGACTCCGTTGTGAATCGCTCACATCAGAAAATACGGATGTGGGGATAAAAAAGGACATGAAAAAGTTTAAAGAAATGTATCGCAAAATTGTGATTCATTTCAGTGGCAACAGTTCCACCGTAGTTGAATCATTTATTATAAACTTTGAATTAGCGTCACGTATTGTAGGTAGAGAGAAGTTTTGAAAAGAACAAAACTGCAGTAAGATGTGAACACTGTTAATATCAACATACATTTTGTCTATGCTTGTAAAATCACTAAATTAGCAAGGAGCATAGTCTTCAGAAAGTTTAACTCCATATAATCAAGATGGAACTATGAAGGAGATAAAACATCACCCAAGTTCATACCCTAGCTAACGGCAATTAGCAGAGTCAGGTAAATGACTGCCATTACCACCCAGGTTGTTTTACCTTAGTTAAATTGATCTCTTTGATAACACACTGCTCATTATCCACTTTTCCTTTTGCCAAGAATATTCTGCCAAAAGATCCTTCTCCAATTTTTTTAATGATTTCATATTTATCCATGATGTCACCTTAAAGCAGTGTCTAAAATAAAAAAGTCCCCGAATTAGTATTGCATGTAGTCAGTGCTGTAACATGAGTTTGTGCTCCTGAAATAGATGCTACCTTTTAAGACTGTCATTTTTATCACATCTTTATTACATTTTATCACATCTTTATTACTGCTGGTGATTCTTCCTAAAAATTTCATCTCCTGGAAGTCTGCAAATAATTGTGGATCTGAACTTTCAATAAGCAGCACGTTTATGAGTGTCTCATAAAGAAAAGCTTGAAGCTTAGTCCTAGTACACCCTAAAGTTAAAACATGGGAAGGCAACAAAAAGTACTATATAAGATTATGGTATGATTTTGTAAAGTGTGATTCATTTCCTGAAGTTAACAACACTGCCGAATTGTTCTTTTAACAGAAAAAAAAAATGAAATTATCATCTATTTCATGTTGATTTCATTTAAATGACTGTGATCTAACGTTGGCAGCAAAATGAAAAGCCACTGCATTCTGCAGGAGACCACAGGCATCGGCCGTCATCTGGAAAACCTCTGGACGTCACCGGGTACTTGCAACGTATCCATAAGCAAACTTAGACAGCTAAATACAAGCACACACTGTAAGATCGTCCTTATTATTCGGCCTGAGTTTTAGCAAGGGAGATTTGCCGAGATAGGAGCCTAGTCCTGCCAGGAAGGCCAGGCGAGCTCCGGGAAGAGGCCACCTCGGGAGCCTGTGCAGGCTCCGTGGCTGGCCCTTTCCGAGGGTCGCTTTTTTGCCAGGGTGACGTCCAAGCAGTTTTAATTTTGGTGCTGGGCTCAAAGCCAGCTCCTCCTGCTCGTCGTCCCTGGAGAGCAGCAGCCCCCCGGGCCCCCTCAGGGCGGCCGCCGCCTCCCTCAAGGCGGGACCCACACGAAGCCCCGGCCGGCGGCGGCCGCCCCGCTGCGGGGGAGCCGGGGCCGAGGCGCGGCGGGGGGGAAGCCCGGGGGGGGGGAAGCCCGGGGGGGGGGAAGCCCGGGGGGGAGAAACCCGGGGGGGAGAAGCCCGGGGGGGAGAAGCCCGGGGGGGAGAAGCCCGGGGGGGTGCTCTGCTCGCCGCGCTGGGGCTGGCTACCCGCCGGCCTGCCCGCCCCGGCTGCGGTGCCGTCGCCATGGCGACTGGGCGCGACAGGCGGGCAGGCCCTCGGCGGGGCCTTCCCTCCCGGGCGGCCCGGTACCGCCAGCCCCGGCCCGGCCACTTGCCGGGGGTCGCGATACCTGCGTGTGCCCAGCCGCGTCCGGAACCCCCGCGGCCAGGGGAGCGGGGGGAGCGGGGGGAGGGGGAGGAGGAGGAGGAGGAGGAGGAGGAGGAGGAGGAGGAGGAGCAGCCCCCCCGAGGCGTGGCGTTTGAAGCGGTGCCAGGCCCGGAGCGGGGAGGGCGAAGGTGTTTCGGGTGGAGCAGGAGCCCCCCCCCACGCAAACGGCACCTTCCTCCCACGCCGAGCGCCTTTTGCTTTGGGTGGTCGCTTAACAAGGAGTAGGATGGGTCAAAAGGAAAACCTCGACTGCCTCGTGGGCTTGGATCCTTGGTGGAGCCTCGCGTGCCGGCCCGTGGGCGCAGGGGAGGGGCGCTCTGAAATGGCTCTGTACCAGATCGACAGGTTTCCTAAAGCTTTGCTTGTGGGTTATTCTTTAATATTATTTATTACGTGGCGTGCTGGGTTCCTGTGGTGCAGGTGTTTTGGGTAGCAGGGGAGGGGGCTGCAGCGCTGGCCCCGGGGAGAAGCTTCTCGAAGCTCCCCCGGCTCCAAGTCGCACCCAGCTCTGGCCAGGGCCCAGCCAATTAGTGGTGGTGGCTGCGGCTCTGCCATAACGTGTTTAACAAGGGGAACCCGGGGGGGTTGGGACTGGCGAGGAGGAGTTGGGAGAAGGACGAACACCCCGGGCAGTGGAAGGAAGGAGAAGGACGTGGGGGAGATGTGCCGGAGCAGAGCCCCCTGGATCCCGTGGGGAGGCGGCAGGGCCGGCCCCCTGCCACCCACGGAGGTCTGTGGTGGAGCAGATGTCAACCTAAAGCCTGGGGAGGAGCCCACACCGAGACAGGCGCCTACACTTAAAGTAGGCCGGGACTCTGAGGGGAGAAGCAGCCCCCGCCGTGGTGGTTCGGTGCTGGGAGGGCAGCAACACGCGGGGGGGACCCACGGCGGAGCAGCCTGGGAACGGCTGCGGCCCGTGGGGAGGACTGATGCCGGAGAAGGTCCCTGGAGGCCTGTCTGCAGTGAGAGGGGAGCCCCGGGGAGCAGGGGAGGGCTGGGCGGCGTTCCCCCCCGCTCCCGAGCAGGAAGGAGCAGGAGCTGGCTGTGACCCCCATCCCCTGCCCCTGCACTGCTGGGGGAGGAGGGGGAGAGATGGGGAGTAGAGCTGAGCCCGGGCAGAAGGGGCAGGGGGGGAGGTGGTTTTGGATGCGATGGCACTTCTCACTGTCCCACCTTGTCTGTTAAGTGTTGTCTTTGTTAGCATTCGAATTAAAACGATGGTTCTTTTTCTTCCAGCAGCAAGTCTGTCTGTTGCCTGTGACCGTTATGGACGAGCCACAACTGGATTCCTGAGACACTTCTGCTTCATTTTCTCCTTCCCATTCCTGAGAGGGGAAGGGGTGAGTGAACGGCTGTGTGGTGCTCAGTTGCCCTCTGGGCTCAAACCCAGTGGTTTGGACACAGTTCAGAGCAGCTTCCCCAGGAGAACTCTGCTGAGACTGTTTCTGCTCTCCCCTGCCATGCTTCTCTTGTAAAATGACTATTCAATAGCCCTCACAGAGCTCAAACGTGACATTGCCCGTAAGACACTCTGCAGCAGAAGTGTGTCTCCTTATCAAAATCAGAAAATGTTTCCTTGTTTATGAACAAATTAGCTTCCTTCCACACATGCAACAGCATATATAAAAACCTCTTCATTGAAGTCATTAAGGCAAAAGCTCAGCCTTGAGAGTTTTCAGATTAATACTTGCATGAACTAAAGCATCAAGTATTTAGCATCGCTAAATGTTTTCCATAAGCCATTCAGACAAGATTAGTTATTCCTGCTACATATATTGGGTTTGTGTGGCAACGTTTTGGTAGCCGGGGGGGCTGCAGAGGGAACGTTCTGTAAGAAGTTACTAGAAGCTTCTCCCGTGTCCGACAGAGCCAATGGCAGATGGCTCCAGGACAGACCCACCGCTGGCCAAGGCCGAGCCCAGCAGCAGCAGTGGTACCACCTCTGGGATAATGTATTTAAGAAGGGTTAAAAGCTGCTGGGCAAGAGCAGCTGGAGAAAGAATGTGTGAGAGGAACAACCCTGCAGGCACCAGGGTCAGTGAAGGGGGGGAGGAGGTGCTCAAAGCACCGGAGCAGAGATTCCCCTGCAGCCCGTGATGAAGACCACGGTGAGGCAGGCTGTGCCCCTGCAGCCCGTGGGGGTTAACGGTGGAGCAGGTACCCACCTGCAGCCCGTGGGGGTCAACGGTGGAGCAGGTACCCACCTGCAGCCCGTGGGGGTTAACGGTGGAGCAGGTACCCACCTGCAGCCCGTGGGGGTCAACGGTGGAGCGGGTACCCACCTGCAGCCCGTGGGGGTTAACGGTGGAGCGGGTACCCACCTGCAGCCCGTGGGGGTCAACGGTGGAGCAGGTACCCACCTCTAGCCTGTGGAAGACCCCACACTGGAGCAGGTTGGATGTTCCTGAAGGAGGCTGTGACCCTGTGGGAAGCCCACGCTGGAGCAGGCTCCTGGCAGGACCAGTGGAGAGAGGAGCCCACGCTGGAGCAGGTTTGCTGGCAGGAGCTGGGACCCCACAGATCCTGAAGGGCTGCACCCCATGGGAGGGACCCACTCTGGAGCAGTTCATGAAGAGCTGCAGCCTGTGGGAAGGTCTCATGTTGGAGAAGTCCATGGAGGGCTGTCACCCGTGGGAGGGACCCCACGCTGGAGCAGGGGAAGAGTGTGAGGAGTCCTCCCCCTGAGGAGGAAGGAGCAGCAGAGATTACGTGTGATGAACTGACCACAACCCCATTCCCTGTCCCCCTGCGCTGCTCGGGGGGAGGAGGTGGAGAAATCGGGAGTAAAATTAAGCTCAGGAAGAAGGAGGGGTAGGGGAAAGGGGGTTTAAGATTTTTTATTTTCTCATTACCCTACTCTGATTTGACTGACGATAAATTAATTTTCCCCAAGTTGAGTCTGTTTTGCCTGTGACAGTAATTGCTGAGTGATCTCTCCCTGTCCTTATCTCAACCCACGAGCTTTTTGTTATCTTCTCTCTCCCCTGTCCTGCTGAGGAGGGGAGTGATGGAGCGGCTTTGGTGGGCACCCGGTGCCCAGCCAGGGTCAACCCACCACAGTGTAGTATTTTGGTGTGTATTCAGGAAAAAAAGAGTTTACACCTTCTCATAGTGTTACACCATCTCTTTGAAATATGACAAGGGAGTGATCTGAACAATGCCATGTTAGATCTAATGCTTTTGATTGAACATTTCTGAAAAGCTATTGCCAACTCCAAATGCATTTAATACCTAGGTTTGTTTAGTTATTTCCAAGTTTTCCAGCTAGAAGAGTTTGTTATTCTTTTGCCACCCTCAGTTTTATGATACAGAAAATACACTCATTCAGACTTTTTTGACTGAAATAATTTTATTCATAACTACAACTTTTCACAAGAATGATTTGGATTGTAAATACTGGCAAGCCTAACGTCAGTTATTAGTAAAAATTCAAGTTTCCAGTCACTGTTTCAATACCATTTTCAGTTCTGACACCCAGTCTGGGTCATCTTCCTCAAAGTCCCTAAAAATAGATTTCAAGATGTTATTTTGCAAAGCAAAATACAACCTTATAAATCTTTGTTTGTTTTTTTTTTTTTTTTTTTTCCCTCTGAAATTATCCTACAACTATGAGAAATTATGTTACAAATATCAACACAAGAGACCTATTTCCTGCATCACTGTGATTAAGGAACCAATAGATGTTGTCCTTTGAATTTATCCAAATAAGCTTTATCACAAGCAGAACCAAATGCATTTACTAAGATACTGCAGATGTGTTGATATTAACAGCTTGCAGCTGAACTGCAGCAAAACATACTTAAGTAGCTCATCTCCAAGTGCCACAAAAATAAAGTGACATAAACTGAGATTCTGACAAACCAAGAACCACCTCCAAAAGATACAGACGTGTAAAATACAGTATTTCTGTTCAGAATGTGTCGATGCACTCTCTGTTCTTTCAAAAGCAGAAGTGGGTCACTAGCATAAATAGAAGTTTAAGAGTTTCTACAAATATGTCTCAAGAAGTAGGTAACAAAGTGATTTTATTACACTATACATGAAAGAGTAGGAAAAATAATGCACAAATACAGCAAACATACCACTAGGCAGGTAGATTTTCCACTGGTTATCTGATTTCAAGCTCAGAGTACAAAGATGTTTCATGAAAGAAGGTTTTGCACTTTACTGTGGTTCTAATTTCATCTCATGCTTTTATTTTTGCTAAGTCATGAGCAAATTATTAGCATTTCTGCTAAAAACAAGCAACCTGTTTATTCTCAACACCTTCAATAACTACAAATATAGCAAAGAAAACCTGCAAGATATCAAAAGCTACTAAATTTTAATATCATTATGTAAGAGAGGAATGGATTTAGATGCTGAGAAAAATGCTGTTTTTTTTTCAGGGGAATGTCTTTTTGGAAAAATCACTCTGAGAAACCAAAGAAAACAAAAAGACAGGTATGTCATTTGGACTTACGTGTCGTCTTCATCAGATCTAGGCTCAAGTCTCCCGGAATCTACGATGATAACTTCATGTTCACCATCTACTTCATCAGATGATTCAGTTTCATCGGAAAGGGGACCTCTAAATACATTTTCAGAAGCTTTCAAAGTATAAAAATTAAAAACTCACCAAAATCCTTTAATATTCCAATTATTAAGAATAGAAACACAATCTAGTCTTTCTAATGCGTCCCCAGATGTCAGCAGATTCCAGCACAAGCTGTTACCTATTTTAAGTGGGGAGATAAACTAATAATGCAACTGAAGTGCAGAACAAGCATTTGTGACTGCAGCTGTGCACCTCTGCTGACTACAGTTACCCGTTGCCCTGCCACCTTACCAACCTGTCTCCAAAACAGGGCACCCCTGACTTAGTGAAAGTGGATTTACCTGATGGGGCTGCAGCCCGTTTATTGCACCTCCCCAAGGCATGCACCAGGCCACTTCGCAGGATGGTGACTGCGTGGCTCTGCAGTTGCTGCATTTTTGTCACAGCCTCTTTCAGC